CTCAAAGGGTGCGGCAGTCCCCAAGACCATCCTGAAAGCATATGTACATTCATCTCTTTATACTCAGCAATTATATATATGGTTATAGGGTGGGGCTCTCAACTGTTTCCAAGCTGTGACTAAGAAACTAGGTCCCTAGGGGTTCGGTCAGACCCCAGGGTCTATTCTGATATCATGACACCATTCGTCTCTTTATGCCCAGCATTTGTATATATAGTTTTGGGGTGGGGATCTCAACCGTTTTAAAGTTATGGCCCAGGGACTATGTCTCAAAGGGTGGGGCTATACCCTAGGGCCATCCTGAAAGCAAATGTGCATTCTTCTCTTTATACTCAGCAATTGTATATATGGAATTATATGGTGTAATACATTTTTTTAGTGGGGGGGGGGGGGTCAGCCCCACCATTTGTACAATTTTGAATACCTGCTTCCCATGAATGCTTCTGACCAAATATGATCGATATCCATGGCATAGTTCTACAGAAGAAGTCGTTTATAGAAATATAGCCAAATTGTCCCCTTTTGACCCTGCCCTCAGCCCCACCATTTGTACAATTTTAAATCCCTACCACCTAGGGATGATTCCAGTCAAATATGGTTGAAATCCATCTCTTAGTTCCAGAGAAGAAGTCGCTTAGAGCAAAATAGCCAACTAACCCTTTTTTGCACTGCCCTCTCAGCCCCCGGGGTGGTCAGCCACACCATTTGTACAATTTTGAATCCCTGCCTCCCATGAAAGCTTTTGATTAAATATGATTGACATCCAGTACATGAATATATAACCGATGTCGGTCTGGGGAATTAGTACTCAAATCCGTTTCCAGTTCATTTCTTTATTGTTGCCAACTTCCAGTTCCTTCTTCTGCATACCATTGCTAGCACTTTCTATCTTAGCTCACTTTCAATCCTGATCCAATCTGGCTCTCCAATCTGGCTCTCTTTCCATCTTCCAACTCTGTCTCTCGCTACTTCAGTCTGCCTTCTCCTCCACTATCTTTTTGTATCTCTCACTTATACTAACAAGAGGCCCAATTGGGCCTGCATGGCTCACCTGGTATTAATCTCACAATTGTAACCTTAAAAGAGGACTAGAATAAAGCTACAGGCAAAATATCAGCGTCTTAACTTAAAGTTTAAAGTAATTCAGAACAAGAGGCCCAATGGGCCTGCATCGCTCACCTGGTATAAATCTCACACTTGTAACCTTAAAAGTGATCTAAAATAAAGCTACAGGCAAAATAAAATATCAGTATTTATGATAAAAATTCATTCAAAAGAACCTGTTATTTTTTTTTTAAACATTTCACCCCTGTGATTGAAAGTCGAACAAAGTCATTACATTATGTTGAACAAATTTTATGCAACTTGCAAAGTATCAACATCCTGGGACCCATGGTTATTCAGAAGAGGTAGTTTAAAGATTTAAACATATTTGACCCCTGTGACCTTGAATATAAGTCAAAGTCATTCACTTTAACAAACATAGAAGTCCTTGATCCCAGCATGCTACTGACTAAATATCAACATCCTGAGCCTTTTGGTTATTCAGAACAAGTTGGTGTTTTTTTTTTTATTTATTTTGAACATATTTGCTCCTTGTGACCTTGAATATGATTCAAGGTCATACATTTAAACAAACTTGGTAGCCCTTGATCCTAGTATGCTACTGGCCAAATATCATCACCCTGGGCATTTTGGTTATTCAGAAGAAGTTGTTTAATGTTTTTAACATATTTGACCCCTGTGACCTTGAATATGGGTGAAGGTCATTCATTTGAACAAACTTTGCAGCCCTTTATCTCAGCATGCTACTGGCAAAATATCATCACCCTGGGCATTTTGGTTATTGAGAAGAAGTTGTTTAAAGTTTTTAACATATTTGACCCCTGTGACCTTGAATATGGGTGAAGGTCATTCATTTGAACAAACTTGGTAGCCCTTCATCTCAGCATGCTACTGGCCAAATATCATCACCCTGTGCATTTTGGTTATTCAGAATAAGTTGTTTAATGTTTTTAACATATTTGACCTCTGTGACCTTGAATATAGGTAAAGGTCATTCATTTGAACAAACTTGATAGCCCTTTACCCAAGCATGGTACTGGCCAAATATCATCACCCTGGGCATTTTGGATATTGAGAACAAATTGTTTATAATGATTTTAACATATTTGACCCCTGTGACCTTGAATATGGGTGAAGGTCATTCGTTTAAACAAACTTTGTAGCCCTTCATCTCAGCATGCTACTGGCCAAATATCATCACCCTGTGCATTTTGGTTATTCAGAATAAGTTGTTTAATGTTTTTAACATATTTGACCTCTGTGACCTTGAATATAGGTAAAGGTCATTCATTTGAACAAACTTGATAGCCCTTTACCCAAGCATGGTACTGGCCAAATATCATCACCCTGGGCATTTTGGTTATTCAGAAGTTGTTTAAAGTTTTTTTAAGACAATTGACCCCTGTGACCTTGAATATAATTGAAGGTCATTCATTTGAACAAACTTGGTAGCTCTTCAACCAAGCATGCTACTGTCCAAATAACACCTCCCTTGACAGTTTAATTATCGTGACCTTGAAAATGGGTGAAGGTCATTAATTTTAACAAACTTTGTAGCCCTTCATCCCAGTTTGCTTCTGGCCAAATATCATCACCCTAGGCCTTTTGGTTATTAAGAAGAAGTTGTTTAAAGTAAAATATTGACGCCAGACGGTTGGACGCCGGACTGACGTCGGACGCCGCGCCATGGCATAAGCTCACTTGGCACTTCGTGCCAGGTGAGCTAAAAAATGGGCAAAGGTCATTCATTTGAACAAACTTGGTAGCCCTTCATCCCAGCATGTTACTGGCCAAATATCATCACCCTAGGCCTCTCGGTTATTCAGAAGAAGTCGTTTAAAGGTTTTAAACATATTTGACCCCAGTGACCTTGAATATAAATCAAGGGCATTTATTTTTTAAAACTTGGTAGCCCTTCATCCAAGCATGTTACTGGCCAAATATATCCCTAGGCCTCTCGGTTATTCAGAAGTGGTTTAAAGGTTTTAAGCATATTTGACCCCAGTGACCTTGAATATAAATCAAGGTCATTTATTTGAACAAACTTGGTAGCCCTTCATCCCAGCAGGTTACTGGCCAAATATAATCACCCTAGGCCTCTTGGTTATTCAGAAGAAGTCGTTTAAAGTTTAAAAACATATTTGACCCCTGTGACCTTGAATATAAGTCAAGGTCATTTATTTGAACAAACCTGGTAGCCCTTCATCCCAGCATGCTTCTGGCCAAATATCATTACCCTAGCCCTTTTGGTTACTGAGAAGAAGTTGTTTAAAGTAAAAAGTTGAGGCCGGATGACGGACGCCGCACCATGCCATAAGCTCACTTGGCCCTTTGGGCCAGGTGAGCTAAAAACTAAGAGGTGTCTAATATGCAAATTAGTTGACTAACATTTCTATTGGTCAACTGTAAATCAACAGCCATCAGGTGGTCAATAGAGGTTCCCAGGGCTCCAGCCTGTACCTTCAATTATCACTAATTGACCAGATCTCCATTCCTCTTTAGATAACCGACCAGTTAGCTTCCTGTCCTTTCATCAACCACACCACCATTCATATTTTGTTTCACAATAACTCCTTGTTCTCAACACTCTGTCTTCAGTTCTTTTACTTTCATCTGACATCTATTTAATTCTGTTCTCATGATTACCATTTATAATTACATAACACACTGTCCTCAAATCTTCCTATTTCACACTGTCATAGTTCTACAGAAGTCGTTTGTAGCCATATAGCCAAATTGCCCCCTTTTGGCCCTGCCCCTCAACCCCCTGGGGGGTCAGCCCAAGCATTTGTACATTTTTGAATCTCCTCCACCTAGGGATGCTTCCAGTCAATATGGTTGATATCCATCGCTTAGTTTCAGAGAAGAAGTCGTTTAAAGCAATATAGCCAAATTGCCCCCTTTTTGCCCCACCATTTGTACAATTTTGAATCCCCACCACCTACGGATGCTTCCAGTCAAATTTAGTTAAATTCCAATAAGTGGTTAAGAAGAAGAAGTTGTTTGAAGAAATTGTTGACCGACAGACGACGGACGCCACGGTATGGCATAAGCTCACCTTGGTCCTTCGGACCCAGTGAGCTAAATACCGAGCCCACGTTACGGGAAATTTGGCTGGAGTGTAATTTTTGCCGTTTTTTACTGCTGCGATGAGATCGAATTTATCAACACAGTTAACATTATTAGTAAACATTTTATTTTATATTATTTTTAGTAATTTTAAATATTAACGGCGAAATTCACACTGGGCTATGGATTATTCTGGCAAAGGGTGAAAGCTTGACTTGGTGAGGGACCGCTATACAGTAATATTATTATGCTTACAGTGAAAACAACACATCATGTATATTGTTATATTTTTATTAGTTTATTCATACCCAGTATGTCCTAGATTGTACATACAGCTGAGACTGATAGGCGTTAGGGCGACCTATTGCACAACCGACATTAACGGAAACAACACAATTATTGGGATGTTTGCAATGAAATTTGATATAAAAAATATACAAATAAATCCATTCTTGTCTCGCCTAACGTTAATGTACAGGAAACTGAATGTATGCTGTAAAACCAGGGAATCAGATAAGACTACATATGTATCTATAGCCGTGGTACAACATATCAATGTGCTTTTAAATGTTGTGCAAACAATTCAGAGAGAAAACTAACAGTGTACTACACACCCTTTGTAGTACATGTAGTGGGATTATCAAAACAGAAATTTCACCAATCTAGGATTTTTTTTTTATGTATTCCGTCTTTGCGTATTGCAGAGTTATCTTCTCTTGGGAACAGGTATTGTTACGTCATTGGTTTGTGCGAGAAAATTACGTCGTTTTCTCAAAAATTGATGACGTTACTCTCACAAACAAGTGACGTAACAATCAATACCTGCTCTCAAGAGAAGATAACTCTGTAATACGCAAAGACGGAATAATACAATCCAGTTAAATGAAAATGATGTTTCCGACTTTTAAATTTCATCAATCAAGACTTTTTCCCCCCATCTGAATACAATGAAATCCAAATACATGAAAATGATGTCTCAGACTTGCTGAACACATCTAGGGCATACTGAACTACAAACAAATCTTGTTGGGTAGGCATGGTAAGGCTTCTCATTGACAACATTCATAAAAACAGACCACGATGTTTAACATGGAAAAAGAGAAATTCATTAGGGTATGTAGACATGACTACACAAATCAACAAAAATATCAAATATACAGGGATGAAAATGAAATTTGTAAGGCAGATTGATGCATACATCCTTCCTTTTTAATACATGTATATGCATAATCACCTTGAGACATAACAATTTCAATGCTTGTGTATATTGTACCAGTATATTGGAGAAACGAACTAGAACATGTGTGTAAGAGAAGGATGCCCCCATGCCCCGTGTGGTTGAACTATACATAACAGTGACTTTGGCATCATTCTTGGGACTTTGAAATACGGACTCACTTGAGGTATTCTGATTTTTGAACTTCATATAAACTTTGATGACAATCATTTCAGAAATAAAGTTGGCAGAGTCATGACAATTAATCGGGACAGAAAGGTGTAATACTATATGCAGCCCCAAACCCTCCCCCATAAACAGAGTATGAAACCATCATTGCTAATTTATTCTTACTGAACCATCATCTAGTGAGACACAAATCTCCAAGCCAGAATTATTTTGTGTTTTATTCGTATAAGCTCATGCCCACTACATGTATTACATCCACCCATTTAGCTGTTAAGAGACGAGGTATTTTTTGGGAAATAACCAGGTATATGAATTTAGGGTCCAAGGCATGAAGAAGGATCAAAACGAAATAATCAGATAAGGAATGGGAAATAACTCTTATAAAATTTCATAAACTGTAAGAAATTGCAAATCAAAACTACTGATAATGTTTATTAAGTCTCATTAACATCACACAAGAAGATTAGTAGCTTAACTCAAGACACAATTTATCAAAAGGAATTGCAAAAAGAGCAATAGTTCTATCAAATAGATAAAATAAAATTTGTATATCACACTGATCATGTGTACAGAGGTCAAGAAGGTACCAAAGTAGCAGTTATTCAAATAAAATTCACATTAAATGGATATCAGGGAAGGAGCTTAACTCTCAAGAAAAGCATCGAAATGAAAGTATTAAACCACACCTATCTATGGTACTGATCATGTGTATGAAGACTCAAAAACTTGTTAAGAAAATAACAAAAGCAGCATTGTGGCGGATACTTTTCTGTCCATAAATGAGCAATAAAATGCCCTCAAACTTTGTTGTAGGGGTTAAGATAACACCAGCATTTAAGAAACACCATCTCTTTAGCTTTCTGGCCAATCTCTTGTAAAATATGGCAGAATTATTCATTTAGCATAGAAGTAAATTAGCTCAAATAAAGGGAGGTAATCAAGCCATCATGATTGAACTATTTCATTTAGCACTATACTTCATAAAGCAATTACTTACAATTTTAAACATCACAAACGTCATATATATATATTAAGCAAATATAAACAATTACGTCTCAGTATTATTTTTTTATAAAGTTTCAAAAACCTGTCGGGCTCGGGCACTAGTTTGGCACTTGACCACAATAAAGGATTACTATAACAATCACAGAGCATCATAAAACCCACATAAAACAAAGTCTAACTTTACAGCACTAAATTTGCCATTCTTATCTTAAAATGTTTTAATATCAAAATATTTCTCTAACTGATTGTGATTCTATAGAAAAGTTTTGCACCTTTTTTACAGTTTCAACTATAAAATGGCTGTCACGTTTTTATGCACCTATAATTAGGTACATGGGATGTAACAATTAATAAAATCACATACAGTCAAACTTTGATGTTTTAATCTCTGACCATCAAGAAAAAAAAATGAAACATCGTTAATTTGACTCGGGGATGTTGAACTTATGGCATTTAAACCAAACCACAAGGCAAAAAAGAATTAATTTGGAGTCTATGTACATATTGGATTAAATGTCATTAGAAAATTTATGCATTTCTGTTTGCAAATTTTTAGGTGTTAAAATGACCCCAGAACATTTCAATTTTCAATAAGAAACTAGAATCTTCAAAGTTCAATTTATAGACATTTGACTATGTGATGTGATAAAAAGATAAGATTCTGAATACCATATACACATGTCAACTCCGATATGGAATCTTTTAAAGACGGGACGAAATGTTTGAAAAATTGTGGCAATGTTCAAGTTTTAAAACCTTGACTTTTTATAGAATACTGCCCAGAAATATGCCCTTGAATTTCATTAATAAAGCCATATTATCCATGGTTTTCGAAATATACCACAATTTGCAAATTAAATACTGTACTGTCTTTATATAGAGAAATTTTAACGAAAAGTAATTAAAAAGCAATTACTTTTCTTTATAACGTTACCTTCAATAAGTGATAAATACCATTACAACGTGAATAATTATCTTGCTATCTAAATATTCCTACTGCTTCATTGTAAGGGATTGGTCATGTTTATTAAGGAATGGATGCATATAACAGCACTAAATCGAACTGAAGCTCACTCACAAGAATGTCACACATATCCATGTTGTCAAATCTTTACACTTAACAGCACTATAAGTAGGGTTAATTCTAAGAATTTGCAAGACAAATTTCCCTCGTTCACAAGTTTCTAGATATTTTTGCCTCTGAATAAAAGCACAATAGTGGTATTTATAAGGTCATTGCCTGAAAGATCCCCATAGTCTACAAGTATCAGTTATACTGCCTTTAACTGTGGTACTTCCAATTTATTTGTTCACATGTTCATTCATGATCATGATATACTTGATGGAAATGATCACAAACAAGAAGCATGATTTTGGAAAAGAAAGTGATTTTTCTGATGATATTTGGAAAATGAAGCTGAACATCTTGTGGAAGGGGCCTTATAAATCTTTGAAAATTTTAAGTATACTATTAACTATGGCAGTGTCATAGGCTCATGTCAGAACTACTGCATCACTCTTAATCAGAACCAAGGAACTGAGAACAGATACAGACCACGGTCACCCATTTTCAGGCAAAACCATAAGGACCGCTTACCGCTAATTGCCAACATGAAGCATGTAAACCTCATCATTTTGTCCTTGTAATGAAATGGCAGTGATAAGTAAGTAGAGCGAGCAGTGGCAGTAAATGCTAGGCTGGTACAGAACACAGATTACAACTAGAAATTAAAGGAAACGTTGTGCTTTCCACTTAAGACCCCTGTTAATTGTCGTAAACTTCATCAAGATCTACTCAAATATTGTCTTAAACAAGGGCTTACAGGGCCTTTAGAGACCAGTAATGAATCCTGTTCATCATTCAGTTGTCATAATTCGCTTGATTTACTACCGGTCATAAAGAAATTTCTATAATAGAAAAGAAAAAAAAACGTAAAAATTCCGGTTTCAGTGAAAACAGGCCTACAGTCAAGATAAGAATACTCCAGGTCATTTTCCCCAAACGTCAAGGTACATCAAACATGACAAGTGACCCTTAAACGGTCAAAATTGTACAAGTAAGGTATATATATGAAAATGTTTTTTCTGATAAATGGGAAATTTATTGTAGGAAGGAAAATGATTTTGCTACATTTAGTAAACCTTGAACAGCCTTGAACATTTCACAGAAGTCAGGACTGAATCGACACACAAACATCGGTCTGTCTCAATGACGTATAAAAACTGGCAATGACAAGTCTGACCATGCACTGTGTATTAAATTGGCTAGCTAGTCTACACCAGGGTCATCCCAGAATGTCTATATCTCCGTCTCCGTCTCCGTCACCCTCGTCCACGTGTAAACTGCCAGGATCTTCAACTATAAGTGATAGCACTTCTTCCTTCACAAATAACCCACTGCGCTTCTCCTTCAGCATTTGCCTGTAATCTTTCCTTTGACGTTGTCGGATGGCTTTCTGTCGACTCCTCCTTTCCTGTGTTTTCAATTTCTGATTAAAAAAACATATATATATAAACAAAGTGTCATTAAAGTTGTCACTGTTCTTTCTACCTAATCATGGGTGTTCCTTCTTCCTAAATTTTAGAAAAGCCTGTTCTTACACGAGTTGGGGAAAATAAAGCCTATAATTTTTTTGAATTGGGAAAGTATTCCTCAAATTTTCTTTAATGTACATTCAATCGCTGCTTTATGTTGCACTAATTTTGCACCCTTTAAACAACGGTTATTAACAGGAAGAAAAGATAGTGCCTACACGACAAACACACTAATTGGTAATATCCTGGAATACTTTTCAAATAAAAATTATCCTTCATAAATTACTAATGTGAATGTTTTTATATATATATGAAATATTACAAAGCATATAGTTTCCATTAATGAAATATATAAATGGAAATGATGCAAAGATCTTGTTTTAATTAGATTGGATAAATCAATGAATTATCAATAGTATGCTTAACCGTCTATGAGTTTTCAAATACAACCTATTCACAAGATATTGAAAAACTGGTACATCAAAATACACAGGCAAATTATATCATTGCAATTCATATATATTCAATCATTTTGAATTGCAACATTTTTTCAATATTGCAATGATTTTATACATTATGCTAGGAGTTTTTCACTTTATTAAATGCTACATAATCTAAGAGTTATGTCAATAACCATAAGCAGGCTATACTAGTGGTGGAAATTGGTGCGTGTAGCGAACAACAATTTCTTATTAAATTGAACATGTTTTTCCAATGACAATATATCTGAATATGTATCGCAATACATTTCTTGTATACTCTAATATTTCAGACACATATTTCTTACCTTGTCAAACTTTTTGCTTGGAGTAAATTTGTCTTGCTGTGTGCTGTCAGGGCTACACTGATTTGTGGCATGTCGACAAACACACTCTCTTATTCTCTGCAACTTCTCGTCATTCAAGGAATCCAGCTCTGTAACGGAGACATCATTGATTTGCAACATTGACAGTTAAAATACATATACAAGAAAATCTATGTGACTTTATCGTAAGTCTAACGTGATTACTCATTGCAAAGACACATGATATATACAAGTGGCCTAATAGAATGTATTGCTCACCTGCTAATAATAGTGCTGGCAAATACATCAAGCATCCACAACTTTCGACCAAAATCGTATTTATTTAAACAAACAATACCGTAAGTAGTCTTCATACAATAGATCTTTCATGGAAGATTTCACATTTAAATACGTTTATATCAGTCAAAGTAGATCAATGTTATTTCTTTCAACAAAATTGTTATCATATCAATTATATATAGATTAAATTACTACTTTTAAATTTTGTGGATTCCAGACCTCATATAAATCTTGTTTGAGGTACTATGGTCCCTATATAAATTTCCTTCATTCAAGTAAGCAACAAACAAGCTTTCACCCCTTCAAAATATTGAAATCTTTTGATGCATTTCACTCATGTCATCTCAAAAAAACAGATTCGACAAACTTTCATCCCCATAATGCTACAGACCAAATATCATTGCAATAGGCATTTGAATTCTTTGCGAAGGTTGTTTAAATTAAAGTTGATGCAAATCTATCACAAGCCCACGTGTAATTTAACAACGCATGCCAAAAACTTAATGTGAACAAAATTGCATCTTGCCAACATAAACATCTGCATTGGTCAATGTTTCATATATTATGTTGCATACAAGTTTTGTTAAACAATATTAAATGCATTCACCATGACATGGCCACAATATTTGAGTCTAAATTACCTCTTTAATATTGGAAAGGAATTATATTACCTTTATCAAAAGAATCTACTTAGTGAACTAAGAGAATTCTTACCGATGACAAACTCTGTGTCTGTAGGTGATACATTAGCGGCAGGGTTGATGATCCGAATCACTTCCATCTGCTCCCGTAGCCCCAGTTCCCGACTAACAATATGACTAAGGTCCTCCACCACCTGTACACGCTCCTCAGGACGCAGACAACTCCTGCTCACAAAGTAAATATGTGTGACATTGGCATTGGCGGATGTAAAATAAATGTACCTGTTCTCATATTTATACAAACATTTTTTTTTTATCTTTAAACACTCATTCCAAACCCCACAAAAACATATTTTGAAGAAAATAGTTCTCATTGTAATTACATAAAAAAAGTTCCCATTCCTTCATGCAACATATTATAGATTTACATATAAAGCTTCAAGTGCCATGTTCTTGTAAAAAAATATATACAATTTACACCAATTCTACACATTTTCTATTTTATTCTGCAAAGAGTTCCTTATGATCTTAGTTGATATGCAAAAATTTTGACAGTTCTACTTTAGACATGATATGGTACACAAGAAACTGACCTGTCAATCCAAGCTTTATACCAATATACATCTATTCAAAACATTGTAAATTATTGAAATGCATTAGCACATGTAGCATGGCAGATCTACAAGACGTAAAAAAAAATGTGAAAATGAACTGCTCAGTATTGTTGCCGTTAAAGAAGAGCTATATCTAGAATTAATACATACCAATTTCTACTGTCAGCAAATGTGTCTGAACGGCATTTCGAGTTTGATGAGACTTTATTGTGGCTTTTATTTGGTGTTATGTCTCCTTCTGAACTACTGGTGCTTGGGTTATCATCAGCCTCAGATATGGTGGTCGTATTATAGGAATCACAGGAGATACTTTGCCAGTCTAAGTCTTGAGCAAGAGCAATTGTGTCTGAAAAAGAGGAAATAACCAAATCAATTAGTATTGTCAAACCTGTTTATAACAAATATGCTTGTATTCATTCTCACTTAAAACAAGTCATAATTTTGATAGCACCAGACAAATTTTGTCAAACTTTGTTCTTTCTTTTTAGTTGTTAAAACAGCTGAAGTGCATTTTTTCAGTGCAAAACCAATATTCTAGGTTCCTGGGGATAGTTTATGTTTTACAATTTTACTGAAATTACCAGTAAGTAAATCCTCCAGCTATACTAAAATGACTTTACATAAATCAATTCATACACTAATTTAATGCACAACCTTTTAAGCCAAAACTGAAATTTAATACTGTATGCTGGTTTAATATTTGGTGCAGTTTACCCCACCCCCCCCCGGAAATGAGGGCAAATGTATCATGACAAAGAATATTAGAATACAGCATACCCTATCCAGTAATTTCTTGTGAAAAGTAAAAGTAACACTGGGTGATCATGAATTTTACCAGCGGAGGGGAAATATTTGACTGGTTGAAAGTCCCCACCCCACCCCCCACCCACCCAATACGTACGTACACAATTTACACCCGTTTATGATAAGTTCGGTATTTCGACAATTAGTTTGACGAAGAACCAGAAATATACCTGAGACATCTGTTTCCTGTATGATGTTCAATAATGAAGTGGTAATATCCCCAAAAAGATGCTCGTCCAAATCTCCATCGATATCCAGGTATAGATCATGCTCATCACTACAGTCAGAGCTAGCTACACTGGTGCCTGTGGACAGGTTCTGGTGACCGAGCAAAGATGACTGTTTCCACACACTGCACGAAAACAAAACAAAAATAAGCATCTCTGACGTGGCTAGAAATTCATTTCCAAACCAGCTAGCTATATAGTCAGTCAGGTCCAATTAAGTCTATTTGAAAATTCCACTAACCCAATATTCTTCGACATTATAAGAATTAAATATATAATTTTGACTAGTCAATCAGGATAGCTGATTTGAAACAACTTTAGTCCAGCTGGAGATTTAGCTAGTCTCACACCTTCAGATTACCATTTTTGTCTAGCCCTGTTTTTAACTACCGTAAATTTGCGAGTATAGTACACACTTTTTTGGGTAAATATTTTGTCATGTCAAAAAGGGGTTACGCACTATACACAGGAACAAGTCATTCTTGGGTTATCGTTCTCAGAGTTTCTGGTCCGCCATATTGGATTACCTCCCTTCAAATAGTTTATTTTGAGTCGTCGGTGATAAGATTGAAGATTAAAATAACAACAAAGAATGAAATTTTGGCAACACAATTTTTACCTTCTCTTAAATGATTAAAATTGGTTATCATGACTGCTGATTTGGCGACAAACACTAGCTGGGCACGTAACATTTTTACAGGTAAGTTGTCTGGACCGGACAATAGGCTAGGTAAGATCGCCATGCTTCAGCGAAAATTATTGACACTTCTCAACACCACATACAAATTATAATGCAGTAATTAGCTAACACTCTATCAGTGATTACTGATTAACAATAGCTCTACTGCAAATTAATTGAAATTACTTGCAGTCACGATCGAGGGACCGTGTTGTTTTCACTCCTCAACATGTGCCGTGGTGTGAAGCCCCACTGCACTGTTAGAACTACAGACTGATTTGACCGTAAAGGGATTATAAAAAATATGTTTATACTAGAAGCGTGGACATTCAACACATCCCCTTCAAATCTGAGATGTTGAAACATAAGTTGATCGGCGATTCTCTGGCATCAGAATTAGCTACACTTTCTTCGTTTGGTTTCTGCAGGATTCGTCCACCATCATTTTATTTTCAATTTTTTCAAATCTGACCCCAAAAACGACATGCGCACTATACCCGCAAATTTACTGTCATCATTAATAAGAGGATTTTTTTGCATAAATTTTGATTTAATTTCCGATGGAAATTATAAACTGCAATGAATCGTCAACTTTATCTTTTTATCCCCCCATGTTGATTTTTAGGCAGAGGGAGAGCAGTCTAGCAATTATGACCGACAAAAGACAAATTCATATATATATCAACAATGAAAATATTCTTAAGATAAGAACATGTGAAAAACTATAATAACATCATAACTATTTACCTGTTTGCATGCCGGGTGTTGGACTATATCATATACATTTTTTTTATCACATGCTAATTTACCTTTGTTTGGATAGTGCTGTCGTGTTTCAAAAATGCTTGCTGGCACACTGATACTGCAATGTTAATACTCTGGTAATATAACTCTAATTACCTGTCATAACTGTTGGTTAATGTCAGAGTTTCGTGGTCATTCCTTCCATCCAATCGTCCAATATCAGCTAAATCAAAGTCTTTGAAAAGAATCGACTCAGCAGCCCACGGACTGAAATAAGCAACAGTTGATGATATACCTAAAATAATCCCATCTTTCAAAGTGAATTAGTGAAGGCAAATGCAATTGGTAATATGACTGTATTTAAAACAAATTTTAAATTTATCTTTGAGTTTTGAGTACCAAATTGAGGATATTGGTCTGCAGGTCTGGCTAGTCTAGATCTACTGCCAACAACTGTGTGAATGGGTGGTTCGGTGGGAGTGGGACACAATGTCCAGGGTTCGATCCCTTAATCAGACAAGAACAGGTATGGTTCACCTGCTACTCCAACAATGTTGAGGTTTACCATCGCAAGATGCTTTTGACCAGCATCACAGTCGGTACAATCCGAAAAACAGACAACAAGCTTAAGCGACCTCTTATGTTATAGATCACTTGCAACTGTTTGACCACATGACTTTTTCTGTGGGCACTCACAATTCCTTCTACATTGAGATCCTCTTTGTGTTACCATCCAGCCAACAATCAGGTCCAGTACACTCTGTCGATTGAGCTATATAGCTGTAAAGACCTGTAATAGCTCCATTGACCTTTCTGAAATAGGTCTTTTGAGCTATTTTCATGTGATTTCTTTTTCAAGGAAAACGAAACAAAGTTGCTTTTTGAAGAAGATTTCATCATTAGGGTGATAACCAAAGACATTAATTATTAGCATTCTTTTAAAATAATAATGATGTAAAAAAAAAATGTAAATTTTATATTTATAAATTGAAAATGAAAATAAACATCCAAATCTATGCTTTTTGTAGTCAACATTACCATAAACCTTGTTGTTTGATGCAACTTTGCCTTAATTCAATGAAAATTGAAATCTGAGAGAATATAGCTCATTACAGCTATAATTTATAGGTGAATATAGCTACATATATCTTTTTATAGCTGAATCGGCAGCAGTGGCGGATCCAGAGGTTTTTTTTGGGCTTCAAGAAACCCCGTCTAACCTGAGAATTTTCTTTAAAAATCATGTTTTTTCCCCCTTCCCCCCCCCCTGGTTTGGAAACACTCCCCCTGGGAAGAGTGTACTGGACCTGGCAAAAGTGATGATATAAAGAAGACTTGTTTCAAGAATGTTACGTAATAATATCCAAAATAAAGTTAAAGTCTATTATATTAAATTGTAGGGTGTAATTGTAAATAAAACAAAGATAGTCTGCTTAGCATTGGACTGTGTATTAGCATACAGTTATCTGTTCTTGAATTCTCAATAAAACCATGTGCTTATAAATGTGTAAACGTATCTGTCTATATATAGACCATTTAAATTTAATTGAAAGTGGTAACACGTTCATACCACATGAAATCCTTTAAAAGCACGTGTTTTGCATCTATGCAATGTGATATCAAAATAAACTGTTATAGCTGCTGGTCTTGTGATACACATGGTGGACTGGACAAATGCAAAATGGGCAATGTTTCCACAATTAATTTACGTGTTTCAAAAATTAAAACAGCATGCATGCATATAACGCTGCACACGAGGATATCTATTCGGTTTTAAATTATGACGTGTTTACCATACTTCATACGTGTAAAACTAAAGTACAATAGCCAGAAACGATCCGGCGTGTCTTCCACGTTTCGTTATTTTTGGGGGAGTGCAAAGGCCTACCTGGTTGAGACCGCGGTGTCTGCTATCATTTTACTGGCTACCAGTGTTTCCGATGCCAATAGCAAGACGCTTTGTAGCTCGTCAAGTAATTATGTGCAGCCAAGTACATGCAACAACTACTTCAAGTTTACAGCAGCTTTTTCCGTATCAGGCAGACATTGTAGTTACCAACGTGGTATGCCCGACATGTGCGTCACAGATTGTCTTCTGTATATAACGAGCGTTTTGATTGGATACTATTTTGCCTATCACATGACCTGTTGGGAATCCTGAAAGTAAAGTGAGGCAGAATACACGTATTCACATCTCTTGCAACCAAGAACGAAATATGCATTTCGTCAATAAATGATGTTAAATGCAATAAAATAACTAAACAGGTATAGGAATTTCTCCCGGCCTTATTAGCATAATATGAAAAGCCGGGAATCCCCCAATGATGACAACTCCCGCCATTTAAAGGGAAATAACTATTTCAAGAACTATGATAATAATCCACGTGTAATAATCAATATCTTTGATGATTAGGTCCAATATGTCACTTATTTTATTGATGAATAAAAATCATTAAAAAGTAAAGATATATATCGAAAGCAAAATAAACAGAAACGTAATACAAAACCTTCCTATACTTCAAGTTATATAAAGTTCAGAAACATCCATCTATGTATCCAAGGCCGGTTAGCTCAGTCGGTTAGAGCGTCGTGCTAATAACGCGAATGTCGTGGGTTCGACCCCCACACTGGCCATTAGATATTTTCCTTTTTTTTTTCAGCAAGCCCCCTGAAAGGCCGTTGTCACCTTGAATTTCAACCCCCTACCCTCCAACTAAAGCCCAGAAATTATATTAGATACTAAAATGATCCATAGCGAGGTTAATGTAGTCATCACAAAAATAGTTCACCAGACATATTAAGTTATAGCATGTCTTAACATCTCTTATGCGACCCACATGTATATTACGAAATGACATATTATTTGAATTTCATACATATACCTAGGTCATCCGGAGCTTAATTTCTTTTTTACTAGCTGTAGAGAGGCTTACTAGCCTCAAAATAAGATAGATGTTTCCATGCGGATTGACTAAAACCATAGTAAAAATCCCTGGTAATATATTTTAGCAGATTACAAATAAGAAAACAAATGCTACATTGCCTAAATCGGTATATGAATTTTAGAGGATGTGCCATTTCATATCATGAATGCAGTGGCGGATCCAGGGACCTATCGGAAGGGGGGGGGGGGGGGGGGGGGGGGGAGATCGGAGAAACGAATGATAAACATGCTGCATCCCACTGTGTGCGAATGGTTTATGGTGCGGCCCCTGCAGGGATATTTAATTTGATCCCGACACTTAGCCAACATCCGGGAGCCTCTCACTCGACACAGCCAAGCAAAACCAGTCAAATATATAAAAGAATTAGGTGACCAACATTAACATAATAATATTAAGCCGTAACTTGTTTGAATAAAACATATATTTGTTCAAATACATGTTTTCGACCAACTTGAGAATTCCAAGGGTAAATTAAGTAAGAATTTTCCAATAAATATAATTTAAATTAATTGTAAAGTAACGAATACGTTAGTGTTTAACTCGCTGCTTCCTCTAATTGTTTTTCTAATTTACTATTTTTTCATTACCTTGACCTTCACCAACTGAGCGTTCAATAACAAGTTAGCGACACAAACCCATTTTGCCCCCTGATTCTATTATGCTGACATATTCCAAATAAACAGTGAATTTACGTGTTTTGAAAGAAGGCTTTAAACGTTTATTGTATTCCTACAGTTTGACAAAATACATCATAAATTCAAAATCATTTGTAAATTCTAGATAGACGTGTTCATAGCATGGAACGGGCCTCTGCAAGAAGATGTGTTTATAACGAACCCGTGCAGATTGAGGGATATCATAGGCCTGCTGTATTGTGTCTATAACGAACAGTGCAGATTGAGGGATATAATAGGCCTGCTGTTTTGTGTCTATAACGAACCCGTGCAGATTGAGGGAAATAATAGGCCTGCTGTATTGTGTCTATAACGAACCCGTGCAGATTGAGGGATATAATAGGCCTGCTGTATTGTGTCTTTAACGAACCGGTGCAGATTGAGGGAAATAATAGGCCTGCTGTATTGTGTTTATAACGAACCCGTGCAGATTGAGGGATATAATAGGCCTGCTGTGACTCACTACATGAACGCACAGTGCAACTTATTTGCGACTTGCAGAATCGATCGGTGTTGGTTCCTTCAGGGGACATCGGAGAAACGAATGATAAACATGCTGCAAAAAAAAAAATCCCACTGTGTTCGTATCTTAGGGGACAACGGTGTATGGTGCGGCCCCTGCAGGGTCGGGATTTTCTTTTTGAACGGACTGAAGTTGACATGCTGCCCACATTGCAACACTTCATATCTGCTATTTCTTGTTTTCCGATCTACTCTCTCTTCTCCGGCGGTGTCTCCCTGTGCACCTGTCTGGCTGATTCGAGGACGTTAAGCCCCAATAAAGATGTGCTCTTCACAACCCCTGAAGTGTTTTATCACTTGTTGTGTAATATACTTTTTAAATAGAGGAAAGTGATGTAATACTTCTAAAGAACAAACCAAAAGTGCATGTTTTAAACATATTGGGATTTCAGCTTATTTTATTGCCATAGTTTTGTTTTGACGTGTTTGACTGCATATTTAGTTTCTGTGCTTCGTCGGAGCTGGCATTGTAATATGCTGTTCTGTATCCCGTCCGTAGTAAAACAATACCCGGTGTCATGTATTTCTGCGTCTGGATTTAATTTCTTAATTTCTTCCTCGAAATGCCTTCACCCCTGGAATGTGTCATGAGTGCCATACAAACAAACAAATATAAACGATCGAGTTACTTTCTATTCCACAACGTATGTTTGGCCAACGAGTTGTTCAGTTCTATAGGAAGTGTTTTAGGAGAAACTTTGTTTTTGTATCCATATTTGTTCTGGCCGTACCACACAACGGTCCCTTAACTCGGAAGAGAGATTACTGAAGCTACATATTGCACACAGAGTATATCAAATCATGGAAACATGTCAACCCACGCTATGATATTCCAAATAATTTATTTATATTTTTTTCATATTTTTTTTCTGGAAGTAAGATGCTTGTCGAATTTCACAGAAATAGGATTTATTATTTGGTTTACTAATAGAGGTAAATCCATGTAAACACCAGCAATTTTGACATTAAACCAATTCAGATGCAACGATTCTGAATATTTCTAAAAAAAAAAATCCGAACAAGTTCATGTACTATGTAGTGCGTTCGTATAACAGCACGATTTATCCCAGTTCCAGGAACACATAGGGACTTGTTTTTTCCCAGCCGTATTTGGACCTAAACTAAGGTGGTTAAAGTAATATTACACGTGTTTTCGGGGTTTAGATGATCTTGGTAAGGTCCAAACATAGATGTAAAAAAAAAATCAAGTCCCTGTGCAGGGGCAGTGTTCTCATGCAAAAAAAAATGTAATACTTTATGAAACTGATGCCACGGTAGTATCTATAGTCGCGAAGAAGAGTTCCGCGTTAACTCTCCATTTCGACTTTGAGGAGAAACAATATTTTGCTGTCTTAGAGTTACCTCCCTTATCAAGAGCTTTAGAATCATTGATCGCTATACCAGCCTGATATTGAGTGGTTTCCACATGGATATAAATAGTCTGTCTATTTTGATTGGCTCGCTACCATACTTTATACGCAGTGATTGGTTACCTGATGTCTGTGACGTCACTAGTCATAGAGGTAAAAGTGGGGAAATTAATTGCAAACAAAATGTGATGGATAAAGTCAGAGACATCCGCATGTTCATACAGGATTCCACGCATGGCGGTGCAATCTCCACGCAGAGTTACTGTCCTTGCTCTCCCTTTAGGAGATTGTGTGTGAATGAAAAGGAACGACAACTCTGGGTAGAGATTGATGGCGGTGCTGTTGTTTGGTTATGGTCGGATATAGATAAAATCAGAGAGCTCCGAGTGCTTTAATGTGTTTTTTTCATGGTTTTTATATGCAACAACCTTAATGAATTGATATGACATGAATACAAATGTATTTTAGCACAAATTTATAGAAAGAAATATACATTGCTTTTATGATTTAAAACAGAAATCCAAAACATACTAAATATACCGGTCCTTACATTACCAGTCCTGGTTCTAGTAAAAAAGCAAAATCACAACAGCCGCAATAACAAGTAAAAACACTATTTGAAACATATCTTTTCTTATTTTATTTATACATTTAGTGTGGTGTTCTTGTATTTCCTACATGAAATAACAACATAAAATAAGCTTTGAAATTGAGTTAATAATACTTAAAATAAATATTTGGTCCCGGTTTTCCCTGTCCTGGTTTTTGTAATGATTGTTTTGGTCCTGGCAGGATTTGGGTCACTAAATAAAAAAAATAAAAAAATAAAAATCTTATTTATGTGTTAGTATTAATATGTTCTTTTACATTATATAACAGAAAATTTTCCAACTTGCACAATAACCATGCTGGTCCTGACAATCCGGTTCTGGTATTAGTGTGACCTGCTATCTTACGTTGTAATTGTCATTGATCCATATATTTTATTGGTTGCATGCTATTCCTGTTATCTCTTTCTCATCGGATATTGATGCCCCTGCTAGGGCATTTACACTAAACACATGTGTACATATTATTTAACAGGGTTTGCACAGCCTTGAAAAGGTAGGAAACTCTTTATTTATATGTAGGATTCGATGAAAATGATCGGGGGATCAAACCACGGCCGTCTTATTGAAAGGCGAGTGGGCTTTCCATTGCGCCACCACAAAATATTTGTTTTATTTTGAAAATTACATACAACACAATAGGAAACAGTATATCGAAGTGTGTAGATTTGTCTGGCATCTTTATGTGAAATTTCGCGGAATTTTTAGACAACGACGTATTCATTCGCGCGTTAACGGCTTGAAATTGACAATCTTCAAGATACAAGATACTATAATATGTATTTAACGTGGCATATCTAAAACAGTAAACATTGGCACTGTAGTGATATTCTTGCGACAAACCTTGGATACAAATAAGAAATAGCATGGATAAACAGCATGTAGGTAAATTCAAAGATAGTTAAGAAATGGCAAGCAAATATCACAGGATAATTTAACGAGTAAAAACAATAAAGGTACAAAAGTATTGGGCGCCGTTTTGGTATTTATTCA